TCAAGCATCACCATTTATGTCTGTGTAACTTAATGGATGTTAATTTCCCTATGTCTCAACTTCTGGTCTTTAAATGTTGAATACATTTTTTACATATATCCAAGGCTGACTGTGAGTATTATTGAAATAATGTATGTAAAGTACTTGGCATAGGGCAATACCTGAGATGCTGTGAATGCTGAATAAATAGCATGAAGTTTTATCATCATCATCATCACTACTACTGATAATATCACTTGTCATTTTTATCTTGTTTCTTAGACAATGTTTAGCTTGCATAGTATTTGACAGAATTAGGTTCTCCATGACAGTTTATTGAATTTATACTCTAGAAATATTATTATGATAAAAATGTATGTTGGGATTGATGACATTTGTGGAGGGTGAGTTAGGTAGAGAAAGGTTCAGGGGAGGCCTCAAGTAAAATAAATTCAGGATAGATAACTTATAACAAAAATACTTACTTGCTAGTCATTAGAAAGAGCTCAAGAGAGCTCATGTTTTTCAGTTCCTTTTTCTGTCACCAGTAAATTCTGTGAGCTTGAGTAACTTAACTTCTTCTCTGGGTATTTCCTCATTTTAAAAATTAAGGACTCAGTACTAATGAGTGGCTAATTGTGGGCTGGAGGTAGCAAATATTTCAAATCCTTTTAAAATCTTCCCAGTCTATATTCCCATCTATCATCTTCCTTTCATCTTCAGGTCCCTTCTCCCCTTGTGAAAATTCTGTCCTACCTAGTAACCATATAATATACAAACTACTGCACTGTACAAGAGACAAACCTGTAATCCAGAAGTCAAGGAAAGAATTATTTTCATGTTCAGTTGGGTGAGAAAGTATAGTGGCCCTAAGTGTTATTAAGGAAATCCTTTCATAGGTTTATAAGTAAGTAATTCAGAAAGCCAGCTAACCAGTTTCGTACCTTCGGTTAAATGTGTTGGATTGATCCAGGATATATTATTTGAGATCTTGAATCAAATTTCAGTAGCCTATAAATGGAGTAGAAGCAAATGATTTTTGACTCTTAACATTTATGCTGTAAATGACAAAAACTATGAAATATTTGGACAAATGGAGGAGAATTTTATTAATATCTGAAGACATTGTAAGGGAAACCTGATTGTGTTAGTCCTTATAGATAAGGTTTCTCTTTGTCAGACCTATTGTCTTTAATCCAAAATTAATCAGTGTATTCATCTCATTCTATGGGAGCAGCACTGTGGAAATCTGTGGCCTTGTGTTGACCAAAGTTTTCACTACATATAGTTCCTTTGGAGGGCAGCAATGAACTGGCAAGTAGGAAGGAATTTGGGACAGAGGAATTGAGAGATTTTTTTGTTGTTGTTAAAGATTTATTTATTTATGCATACATAACTGGGGTACAGGCCAGAGATGCAGGGGGTGAGAAGATTCACCAGAGACAGAGTGGGGAGCAGAACAGGAGGACTGACTGAAATATACTGCTGAGGGGAGCAGCAGGTGGGTCAGGTGAGGTCTGCCATGCCATGTGGGTCAACCCCCTGGCTAAGTTCGAACTCATACTGTAGTGGCTGCGATAGCTTCATAGTGCTTTAACCCATTGTGCCATCAAGGGAGGGACCTGGGAGAGAGATTTATTGTATTTCATTAATGGAAATGGCATTCTTTTATGATTTTATAAGGCTAAGAAAAAATTTCATGCTGTTGATTCAATATGGTTAGCTAACTGAAGGGACTTACATGCTGGAGTTCCAGAGTAAATTCCTGCAATCCTGAGTGTATAGCATAATTGACTGGAAGTACACTGAATTGGGAATCACTTCTATCCTACTTCCTGCTCTGTTACTAACATGCTGTGTAATCTAGAGCAAGTCTGTTTTACTTCCAAAGATATAAAGAAAGATTGGGTTAGCATTGTCTCCTGTATGCCTCTGGCTCTAACAGTTAGATACAAAAATTCTTCTATGTAATAATTGAATCCTACGAACATTAGAACATTACAGATGGACTAAGTAGAATGAAGAGGATGGGGCAAGGAAAGAGAGTCTGTCTGCTACTGGAATCCAGCCACCTCAAGGGTGGGAGCTGGTCTAGCTGTGGTGTTCTCTTACCCTGCAGCATCACCATAAGTCAGTTGTGGCAGTTAGTCTTCAGAGCCTAGCAAACTGCCCTTATTTCCTGGATTGTGGAATGGGCAAATCAGGTGTGAGAGTTGAACTGATTGGTTCTAAATGGTCCAATCAGCCTCAGTATTAAAAAAAAAAAACAATCAGACTTGTGGCATCCTGAAAGAAGATATAAGCTAGGGTCACCAGGAACTGTGACTCACTGACTCATTGTGTTCCAGCCTCTGGAGAAAAAAGAAGGGCCAGAAGCTGAAAGAAAAAGAAAAGAAGCATCCATCAGCCAACCTCCCAGAAGGGAAGGGAAGCTGAAGACCTCTGTCAGAGACTGGGCCTTCTGTGCTGTCTCTGACATTGCTTGAAAGGAGCACCAAAGTCTCCAGACCTGGTGTCACAAAGAGCTGATAACACTTGATGTCTCTGACACTTCCTCATAGGGACTGGTAGTGAACGTCGCTACTGGCCAGGGCTGTCCGGCACGCCCGGTGACAGGTGACTGATACTCTGCTTTTACTTTTGATGGACACTATGTGGGTGAGATTGTCAGCTACATGTGGTTATAGTGAACTCTTTGTTTATCCTGTTTGTAAAATAAACCCCGTAGTTGTTCCCGGGGCTTCAGGTCTCTTGCAGTTGTGCTCACAGGTGATGTTAAGGGGAAGGATGTCCTAAAGTAACTCTGCAGAGTCTTGTGGACCCCACCCCCTACTTCAGCTTTCTGGACTCTACCCCCTACTCCAGTGATTGGAAACTACAACTCCAAGCAGCAGGGAGAGAACTGCAAGGACCCAAGCACGGAGCTAGCAGGAATTCTGGGACATTGGGGGATAAATAGGACATGATTGCATCTCTTGCTCTCTTGCTTGGGAAATGGCTCTCCGACCGCACGACTCGGTGTGTTCAGTCAGCCTAGCCATAAGGTAGTCCATACTTTGTATCTCGCTCTCTTTCCCTGGGTTGTTTCCTATCCCTTTCCCCTTTTGTAAATAAACCCATTATTGACCCTTTTGTGTGTACCTGCAGTATAACTGAATTGTGAGCACACAGGTGAGGCCCCTGGGTAACCTGGTAACAGTGAGAACCCACAGACAGTGCCCTGACCTCTTAGCAGGCATTGTCCTTCGTTTGGCTACAGCCCATAGGCCCCTACCCATGAGTAGTGTATTGCTATATCCCTTGGTTTTATATTTTGGACTTTTGGCCTTTTAGGGCTTTTTGGCAGTCTCTTGCTTACAGCCTTGGGCCAGTAGGTAGCCACTCTGGCCTATCCTGGTATCCCATCCTCCTGCCCTGATCACCCCTGTTTCATGTCATGCTTAATTAACTTATGCAGGAGACAAAAAGGTACTCTGAGAATTTTGGGGTAAATGACCTTTAATTCTTCTTGTGAAATTATTGGTTCCAGGAATATAGACTAGAAGAGGGAGAATAATTCAGAGCAGTGATTTTTCTTTTAGATTACTTTCTGGTTGAGAATATGAGTAAATTATTTTGATCATAAGGTCAATATTCTTCTAGAATGAAATGATGAAAATCTTTTAAACAACCAAACTGGTCTTTTGTTTGCCACCCTTTAAGGCTAGCTCTGTACCATGAGATCTCTTTGCACAAAGAAGTTTATTATACAATATGACCACCAAGGGAGTCTGCAGTTAAATACCAGAAAAGAAGCCAGGTTTTCAAATGTTAGAGTTGCTGTGATTATATGGGGAATTGAAAGGAATGTGAGGAGTTGTTGGCCACGAAGGGAGTAAGGGACATTGCATTCCCTCTTCTGAGGAGGTGCTGGACTGTGTAAGCTTCATGAGCAACAATGTTTATCTTCTTCAGCAGAGTGTTCCTTGGGGGGTTAACAGCCTTTTCAAAACAGCACATGCTTGTCCTAGTGTTACCAACCTTGGGAGCATCCCAGAGGGTGGACTGAGGGAAAAGAAGTATGTTTAGTATTTGATTCTGCTTAATTTAACTTTTCTAACACAATGTTTAAGCTACAGGTTGGCAGAAATTTGTTACATACCACGGCAAAGAAATACTGTTGTCATTTTAAGAAAGGGGTGAGAAGTTCATATTTATTCTTTGGAAAATTTGTTCTTGTGGTGTAGAGAAAGGTTTAGAGGTAGGAAAGACTGGATATATAGATCACTGATAGTAAGACCCTCAACTTAGGAAGTGCTAATGATAATGAAGTGAATGAATGAGAGAGAGAGGAAGTGAGGAAGACTCCAAGGATTCTGGTTTGGGCAACAGAGAAGATGGTGATGCCATTTTACTGATACAGGAAACACCAGGAAGAATGGGACGGATAGGTAGAAGATGATGATGTAATATTAATAAAGAAATGGGGGACATTCTCATTTATCTGAGGAATTGGTGTATATTTGAAGGTTTCTCAGTAGTCAAGATAACTGAAATACTTTTTTTCTTAAAAATGTGTATAGGTATATGTCAGTGTCTTGTCTTTGTTGCTAGGGGAAAGTGTTGCCATGGAGACTAATGATGTCATAACTTCCCCTGTGAGCCAATAAGAGCACCTTGGTGGTTGTGACTCAGTCTTCAGGCTGGAAGCTGTTTGCAACCATCCTATCCTAAGTGTATGTATGATGCGTAGACAAGTTTGTGTAGAGGGCTAGGGAATTGTGGAGGGCTACAAATGTTTGTTTTGTTTAGTTTTCACTCTTATAGGAAGAATGAGGTAAAACCATTCCGTTCTAGTTAGATTGGTTCCAAACTTGACTTTTTTTTTCTATTCCCAAGGTTCAAAGGGCGTGGCTTCCCCAATTCTTGGCTGAGAAGACACAGAACAATTGTATTTTAATGACATTCAGTCATTTGGTTAACAAGTTATGTTTTTTTTTTCTTTTTAGAGTGGAAATTCCTAAAGATTAAGTCTGCACGAAATGGCTCTCATTCGGATGGTTACCGGATATTTATATATCCTTGTCATTTGCACAGCATATGGTTCTACTTTGTCTTCAAATGCTGAAATAAAAGGTAAACCAGCAATAGAGTAGTTTTAAAATTAGAGATAACTGTCTTTTTAGCCTTTTTTGAAAGAATATAACAAGCAGATGGATTGTTATTGAAACTATTTCAGAAAAGATACATTCTTATTAGTTTTTGTTATGTATCAGGTGGCTGATAAAAAGAAGCATTTGGTGTGATAAAAGTCAAACTAAGGCATTTTCATTATGTTTTATGTTGTCTTTTCTAATAAGTGGGTTAATTTTCTGAAACCTCATCACCTGGTACCTAAGTAACTGGAAACATCCCTTAATTATTGTCCTTAATGTCTAAAACAATAAGATAATAAAATGTACATGCAGAAATTTAAAGTAAATTTAAACATTATAACAGAATTATTAGAACATATCTAATGAACTCTTATTACAGACTGCACCCGAACAATGCATTTGAAATATTTCTAACTATAAAAATTGTCACAACAGGATTGTATCTCATCCTCATAGAGACCTTCCTTAAGTTCATGGGGACCCCCACATAAAATCATCATGTGTGCCACAAAGCCTTTCTGTGGATTATTCACCTCAATAAATGTTATGAAGTAAAGTGTTAAAATGAACAACAGGCAGAAGTGAGAGGAAATTATTAGTAAGATGGCAACCCTATAGTGCTTCAGGATTTGCAAGTAGGAAATTATAGGACTATTAGACTAATTTAAATCACTAGCTGGAGGAACTATTGCCTTCCACTGCCTCTCCTCCTCCCCAAGGACAGTTTTCCTATGTCACTCCACTCAGTTACCTCTCCGTTTTCTTGAATGCCTAGTTTGCCTAGTGGCTCTAGTTTGCTACAGAAGGGTTAACTCTATAACTAGAGGAGTCAGTTAAGTAGAATGGACCAGCCAGATCTACCTGTTCTCTAAATTCTTAAGGCATTTAGCTATAGTGGTCATATTTTTATTTCCTACCCCTTTCTGTGATTCCCATGATGTTATATGCATTTAGTAAACATAAATTATTATTAATAGCTCTTACTATTAGGAGATTTATAGAATCAAGTGTTTGCATCCTAAATCAACTTCTGGTCTATATGATGACAGACATTAAACTTTGTTGAATTTCTTTTGTTGTGAAAATTTAGTGCATAGCTAGGCAAGGCCACATTTTGCATATTCGATTTCTTAAAAGTGGGGGCAACTCTATAGCAATAATCTAATTTTACCTGCTATATTTTACTATGTTTTAAAAAGTTTTATTGAGATGCAATTTTTTCTAAAATTCACTCTTTAAAAATGTGCTGTTATTGGTTTTTAGCATATTCGCAAAGTTGCATAATAACCAGCACTATAAAATTACAGAATATTTGCATCACCCCCTTAAAAAAAAACCTTATCCATTCAAAGTCATGTCTCATTCTCCCTTCACACCAGCCCCAAATAACAATGAATTGATAGTCTCTGGTGTTTGCCTATTATTGCTATTTCATATAAATACATTCATAGCAGATGTGGTTTTTGTGACTTTTTTTTTCACATAGCATAGCATAATGCTTTCAAGGTTCTTCAATATTATGGCATATTGGTACATCAGTCTTTTTTATGAATAAATAATTTTCTATTGTATACATGTACTAGGGTTTATCCCTTCATCAGTTAGTGTATGTATGTAAAGAATCTAGTTCACTAGTCTTTCTGGTAAGATATACAAAAAATTAAAATACTTTATTGATTTTATTTCAGTTAATCCTCCTCAGGATTTTGAAATAGTGGATCCTGGATATTTGGGTTATCTCTACTTACAATGGCAACCCCCACTGTTTCTGGATGATTTTGATGAATGCACAGTAGAATATGAATTAAAATACAGAAATATTGATAGTGGAAGCTGGAAGGTAGGTAAAACATGCACTTGTGGTATCAGACTGATTATTAGTTTTCTTATGATTGATGCCAGTGTCCACTCTAATTCTCATATCTCAACAAGCTGTCCTGCCACATCTATGTTAATCCCATCCATTGTTAATAGTACAGCAAGGAATTACAGGGGAAAAGTACTTAACAAGTGCTTACACATTTTGCCATATTTTATGGTTATTCATAAACTTGTACATGGATCTTATGTATGTGACTGGATGGTGAACTTTCTTTCTGCAGAAATATAGAGTATATAGAAATATACTCTTCCCACAGACCATAGGATGGTTCTTTGCCTATATTGTAGTAAGTGTTCAATGCAAATTTATTGAATTATGAGCTACTTACATAATCAACAAGCATGTTCACTTAAAGATTTATGTTGCACAAGACATTCTGTTACTTTCCTGATTCAGCAAAGTAGTTTCAAGAAACAATTCAAATGAAACATTTATTGAGCAACTTTTTGGGCCAGGTACTTTTCTAGGTATCAGGGATAAAAGGACAAATTATAAATGATTTTTGCCCTTCCAGAAATTGCAATCTACCAGACTTTCTCTGGTTCCCTCCAGGATTTTCCTTATATGACTCCTGAAGATTTTGTATGATAATTGAATGTTAATAAGCTATTTGACATCAAATATGCGTAGAGTAGATGAAAATTACCTCTTTGATGTCAAGTTAGTTATAGCTCTATTTCTATGATAGAGCCTGTTTTTCACTTCTAGAAGATCTTTGGATTGATTTGAATAAAATGTTAAGGATTCAAATGTTCAAATTGAATGATATACAGAAAAAAGACCTGCCAGTAATATATCTGGAACATTGTATCCAATAATCATCAGGAATTTCTCAGATATTAGGAATTTTCCATGGTACTAATGACTTCTTAGCTTTATTTATACAGTTCATGATGCCGCCACTACTTCTGTTTTTATTTCTGTATGTACTATTTATTAATTGAGGTAACATTAGGATTACAACAGGTATCACCACCATATTGCACCCACCATCAAACCAGCCCTAGCCTACCACCGTAATCCACTGTGCTTCCTTTCCTCTTTGTTCTTACACCTCCCTACTCTCTGCTCTAGATGCTACAGTTCTATCTTCACCTTTCAAGGGTTAATCTTTAAGCTTGTCTTTATCTGACCCTTAGTTTGATTTCTCTACAGTCCACATGTTAGCAACACCATCTGGTATCTTTCTCTTTCTGAGTTACTTTACTTAGCACAATCCCTTCCAGCTCCATCCATGTGGCTTGCAAATAGCATGAGTTTATCTATTTTGATCACTGAGACTTAGTATTCCATTGTGTATATATACCTCATCTTCTTGATCCATTCATCTGTTTTTGAGCACATAAGTTGTTTCCATAGTTTGGCTATTGTAAATAGCACTGCAATATATATGGAGTGCAAGATTCCTTTCAAATTAGTATTTTTTATTTTTGGAGTAGATGCCTAGGAATGAAGTTACTGGGTTGTAAGGATGATCCATTTTTAGTCTTTTGTGACATTTCCACACAACTTTTGATAGGGACAGGACCAGTCTGCATGCCTACTACCTGTGTAGAAGGATTTTTTCTGGTCTTTTCAATATGGGTGATTCTCACAGTTGTGATATGGTATATCATTGTCTTAGTATACATTTCCCTAACGATAAGTGATGATGAACATGTAGACTGTTGTTTTCTTTGGTACCATTGTTTGATTGGGTTATTTGTTTTCTCTTTGTTGCATTGTATGTGCTCTTTATAGATCTTTAATATCAGTTCCTAGTCAAATATATAGTGTGACTATATATTCTACCATTCACTAGCATCTCTCTTCACTTTAGTTATGTTTTCTTTCATTGCATCACACTTCTAAGCATGCCTTTGTCTCTCTCTCTTTTAATCAAACAGACCATCATTACTAAGAATCTACATTACAAAGATGGCTTCGATCTTAACAAAGGCATTGAGGCAAAGATTCATACAGTCCTGCCAGGGCAGTGCACAAATGGATCAGAAGTTCAAAGTTCATGGTCAGAAACTACATATGAGACATCACTACAAGGTTAAAACAAGTTCTCTTTTTCATATTTGATATTTAATATTTTTTTCATATTTAAGTTCTTTAACTCTTATATTTTAGATTGCATGTACAGTTGGAAGTGTGGCATAAAATAAAATCCTTTTTAGCAATACATAACTGACTTTTTTGAATTCTTTAAATCAACAAATACCTTTGGCAAAGTCTACATCTTATTTGATCAATGTAGTTCCAAGTTTTGAAGTCATATTACTAAGGATGTATGTGAGTATGTGTTAAAATGCTCAGAACCTTCTAGAATTACTAATTTCGTACTTCTGCATATGTTTATACTTGTATCAGTATTTATGTTCTTAAGGGGTTTTGATTTTGCATTCCCCACTTGCAATAAAGTGGTTCCCTGTAACGTTTTATTTGAAATACTTCTGGCTAAGTTGATTGCTACATGAAATGGTGAAGAATCATTTCTCAAATGATTCATCACCATACCTTCCCAACATTCACAATTCATTTATTTTTTAGGAAACCTGGATACTAAAATTCAGGATATGGAGTGCATATATTACAACTGGCAATATTTATTTTGCTCTTGGAAACCTGGCACAGGTGCTCTGTTTGGTACAAATTACAACTTGTTCTACTGGTAAGTGTTTTTATAATTAAACTTATTAGGAAAATATCAGTCAAAATTAATTCACAGTAGAATAACTGTATTATCACTAAATTAAATTAAATATACATATTTTAGAATTGCATCTATTTTGAAGATTGTTTATGATCATTTTGGATTTTCAGTGGGAATAAATATGTTTAGGCTGTAGTTACTAAAAGGTGCTCTATGGTGATACATGTATGCAGTTATTGTTTCTGTAGTGGATTAAGTTTTCTGTCCTTTAGTAGATGGAGTTATAACCTAAAAGTTTTGGTGTGCTTTATAGTTTTGCCTATTAATAAATCCAGTATCTATTAAACTGGATCTATTCTTTTTCTTACTGCCCTATCTTTGTTATTTGTTACTGAAGCTTTTAAACTTCGAATCATCTTGAATCTTCTGTCTCCTTTATTCCTTAATTATTTTAGGATGACATTGATCACTGTCTGACACTCCTTTACAAGTTTGTACATTTGTTCTTTTCTTTCCATCTCTACTGTAAGAACTCTAGCCTCACTTCATTCCACACCTAGATAAGCATTATGATCTTCCAAATGATGGTCTTTCTACATGCTATACTGCACGCTCTAACGAGATTTATCTTCCGTACTGCTGTTTTCAGGTGCCACTCTTGTTTTCAAGAGCCTTCTGGGCCAACTCATTGTTTCTAGCATAAAATCTAGGCTGGCATTCAACTCTCTGTCTCACTCTATTACTCACTTAACAACATTACCTTCTACTCTTGTTACTGATCAAACTGGGTTATGTTGCTCACGCTCAGAAAGCCAAACCGTGAATCCTGAGATTGTAGCACAAAGGAAGCATTTTATCAGCTGGTGGCACCATGTTGGGATGAGCGCAGAGTCAGGACTTGGTAAAGACTGCCTCCCAAGTGGCAAGTGAAGGAAGATTATATAGGAAAGAAAGGAATGTGGGAACATGCAGAAGTGAGGAGAGTTTCTTCATCTTCAGATCCAGGGGTACTGAAAGTCCAGGGGTAGTCCATCACAAAACTCTTAATGGTGTAAAATGACTCTAAGGTGTTCATCAGGCGCTGATGTTATAGCATCCTTGGAATGAACAGAAATATCCCATGAATCATTAGGTAGCCCATCATCACGACCCTGCAAAATGCAGTGCAGCAGCATCCCAGTCAGGGCTCATACTTCTGGCCGGGCCCAGCTATACTGTCACCAGTGTGCTTGTCCCCTGAGTTTGGACCCATCTATATTTTTTTCTCGCCCATGTTCTTCTTCTACTTATATATCTATTTTACATTGTGTTATGATCACTTATGGCTTTGTGTGCACTGTTAACCTAAAATGCACTCTGGCTCACCCTTTTGCAAACTGTTACCCACACTTCAAGGTCCAGCTGGTATTCAGTTTTATTAACCTTTCAACTTATTACATCATCATTTGTTTACTTGTTTTCTAATCTATAACTATTATATTTCTTAATCACTTATTGCCTAGATAGTACTTAAATTTTTCTCATACATATATGCTTTGTCTCTTCTCTTAAATTTTTAAGAGATTGGTAGATATGAGCTATGTATATTTCTCTTGCCATAGTACATTTATCAGTAAATATTCATTCGATGATGGCAGCATTGATGAGTTTACAGATAGGTATCAAAATTTCTGCATTTTTTTAGATAACAAAATAGGGGGAGAGGACAAAGAGTTACTTCTGGGACTGAGTTTCAGGCCCAGATTATCATGGCATTTTCCTTTAGTAATCTTAATATGAAAGTGACAAGGTATAAACTGTTACCATTATTGAGAACTGGGTTCTAATCTCTGCTCTGTCATAGCTTAACTTGGTGGTCTTGGCTAAGAAACGTACCTTTTGTGGTCTCAGTTTCTGTATCTGGAATTGGGTGCATCAATTTTTTAATTCTAATGTACTATTCATTAATTAAAATATTAAGTATCTATTAAATACAAGGCACTGTTCTATATAAAAGGACAAAAATATGAAAAAGAATCCCTCCCCTTTTGCACATTGTAGTTCATGTTTAACCTAACTTCATCCTCACCTTTATAAAGTAGTAGGGGTAAATATTAACATTTTAGAAACTGGAAAAATAAAGGTTGCCTGAAGCTTTCTGCTGGCACAAGTAAATCTGTGTAAAGACAAGCCTAGTATTCAAATCTACCAATTAGGCAATTAGGTAAACTAACCAAAAGACTAAAATTTGGAAATTCTGCCTAATTTACATGCATGGCATAAAATGAATTCAGTAGGGTCAGAATAATTGTATCAGCACTTTACCAGCTGCTAAACTGGCCTCAATTCAAAGTGGTTTTGAATGTTTCTACAGATAATATTATAGTTTGTGTTGCAAACTATCTTTTAAGAAAATAAAGCAAGCATTTGTTACTTTGGAAATTGGTAGGGAAATTCCCCCTAATTCCCATTAGCTTTATTACTGGAAAGAGATTAATTTTCAATGATATAGCCAAATTTTTGCCTAAGAGAATGGAAAATTAGATATGTACTTTCCAAATGACTTATTTTTCTGTTTGATCCTTGGACTTTTCTGAGGTTTATATGTTAGTGTATATTGTAAATTCAGAGGATTTTTAAGACATAATAGTATTTTGTAAGTCTGCTTTAAAATCTGCTTCCTTATAAAATAAATTGCCCAGTACACTATCAAGAAGACAGTATCATGCAGGATTTTCTATGTAAAATCCAGGTTTTCTTAATAGAAATCTTAATTTTTATTTCACAAATTCTATGATTCATAAAATCAATACAACCTAAGTACCTGAGTAAATCCCTTGACTTACTTTTGAAGCCTTACCTTATTTTTGAGATTTTGTAAGGACTCCCACCTGATTGTAAACTCCAGCAAATCGTGTACTGTGTTGGCTTTCCTTATTATTGTACTATTAACACTTATCATTGTGTCTGGCACATAGTAGGTGCTCAGTAAATCTTGCATTCTGTTAAATGGTTTTTTAAAAATTTACTTGGTATCTAAAGAATTGAAAATTTGAGTACCATGATACTAGAAAGTATTTGTAAAACAATTCTTAATAACACATATATTTTTTTAACAGGTATGAGGGCTTGAACCATGCGTTAGAGTGTTCTGATTATACCAAGGATAATAAAATAAATATTGGATGTAGATTTCCCTATTTGGAGTCATCAGACTATACAGATTTCTACATTTGTGTTAATGGATCATCAGATTCAAAGCCGATTAGATCCAGCTATTTTGTTTTTCAGCTTCAAAATATAGGTGAGGCAAATAACCCATGAATAATCTATTTCAGGCCATTTATAAAAACATGGAAGTATATACATATGTACACAAACATATCACACACACACACACACACACAGAGGAAAGGAGTCATTGAAATGGAAGTCAGAAAATGACAGCCACCAAAGTTTGAGGATTTTCTTATTAAATATAAAATATGGAAGCTAAAGAATTAAATGAGGTATAAGTTGTAATTTTTCACCTTAAACTTGAAATTAATTAGCCAGCCTCAAAGAAACTTTGTCACCTTTATAGTATTTTTTTCTAGTGTTAGTGATGGAGTAGTTTTGGAATCACTTATTCACAAGGCTCAACTGCAAATGACTGGATGTTTTCTAAGTGTGATTTGCAGTTCTATCTATTATGAGAATAACAAGTCCTCAAACCAGTCATTCCAGATTCTTGAATCTACCACTTTCTGCCTGACTTTGGCCAAGCTGCATAACATGTTTCTACTTACTACTCAATAAAATAAGTATAGAGGGCTACCTCTTAGGCTTGTTGTGAAACATGAATGAATTCTATGTAACATTCCTGGCCTCTTGCCAGACATCAAAAGCTCTAAATAAGAATTAACTATTAATAAAAATAGCAGTAGCAATTGTCAAGAAGTTGTTTCTATTTCTACAAAGTGGGAAAATGACTGTAATGATTTGAATCTTGGAACTTTTCTCTTGGGCTTACCTTTGTCAATATGTGACATTAGAAAATTTGTTTCCAAAATAACTTTCTCAATAAACTATATATCTGGAAGCAACTTCGATTTTTTTAAAGATTTATTTATTTATCATACAGAACTGGGGTATAAGCCAGAAGTGCAGGGGTAGTGAGAGGATTCACCAGAGACAGAGTGGGGAGTAGAAAAAGTTGATTGATAAAGTACACTGCTGATGGGAGCAGTGGGCAGGTCAGAAGAGGTCTGCCACGCCATGCGGATCACCTCCCGGGCAGGGGATCAAACTCGTGCCAAAGTGGCTTTAGCTTCTTAGTACTGTGCTTTAACCCACTGAGCCATCAGGGAGGGCTGCAACTTTGGTTTTAACTCGCAGTATAAAGAATCATCTTGAGCCACCTTATTTATCCCTGAAGTCTTCTGTTATTAGATGTTCCTGGCTTGTCATAAGGATTACTGCTGAACTTCGACAATCACTATGTTTAAATGGTTTCTTTTTGCTTTTCAGTTAAACCTTTGCCACCAGACTATCTTAGTTTAACGGTGAAGAATTCAGAGGAAATACTCTTGAGATGGGACTTGCCCAGAGGGCCAATTCCAGCCAAGTGTTTTATTTATGAAATTGAGCTCACAGAAGATGATACTACCTTGGTGGTATGAAAATTGTATTTATTAGGGAAAGCGATAAATACAGCCTTTTAAATAAAATAGCCAACATGATAACCAAAATCAGTTGCTATCCACATAAAGATTAGAGCATGCTATATAACCTTAGTTTAATTTCCAAAAGACAAAATAATCTAGTAGACATAAGAAAGATGCTTGTAATTTGGAAGCATAATCATACTAATTTTAAAGCTACATAGGACCTTAGACAAAATCTACTTATTTGTTTACAGTTTTATGTTGTCAATAAAGTTGCCAAGTGAATACATAACATGGATTGTGAAGAGGCCACAAATAAAACAAAAACAAAACCCCCACAAACATAAAATCCATGTTGAGGAATAACCATCAAGTCTGGCAGGACTACAGGAGAATTACTTGTTACAGAGAAAAGGAGCTAAAAGGGACAGTAGCTAATAGTTGCACCACTAATTAATGTTGGTCCCCAGGCAGCAACAACGGAGATGCTTTTAGCTTCACAGTTATAAGTTAATTTTACTCATTGGTTTCCAACTTAGAGAGTGGTGGAGACAAGTATGTGAGCCATTATTTTTAATCAATTCATTTCATATATGGACGAGAAAACTGCTAGCTGACCTGATTTTACTAGTCCCAAGAAAGTAAATTGACTTAAAATCAAATTATATGTTAGAACTAAAATTCAGATCTTACACCCAGGCCACTTCAACCTACACATTATGCTCATTCACAGTAAGAATTGCAGCAAAAAAAACAAAACAAAACAAAACAAAACAACTCTCTTTAGATGTTTGACATGCAAAGTTTAAATAATTGCTTTAGTGTTTGTCTTTTCTTTGTGATCATCTAGCCTCGTGATGTTCTCCTATCTGAGGGTAGTTCCATGTCAACTCCTGAGCACAGATTTTGTGGTGGTTAAACTGAGAATGGGGGAAAAAAGAGATCCTACAGAGGAGGGGGACCAAGAGGGATCAGAAGGAGGGCGGAAGGTGGGGGGCTGTGGTGATCATGGGTGGGGGAGGGGAAATAAACCTTGTTGTAAAATCAACATTAATGTAAATAGATATATAATTTTTTAAACATAATAAAGAAGAGTGGGGGAAATGCTTTAGGTATATGATTCTGATTATATAGTTTCCAAAGAAACAACATGCACATGATAACTTTTTATTTTAACTCAGTATATTGTAACACTGCACTTTATGGAATCTGGAAAATTTAAATTAAACACAAATACAGTATCATAGACATTAAAGCTAACTAGAATTTTTGCCCTATCACACATGCCCTTTATTATAGGTTGATCCATTATCATTTTAGGGAAAATAGAAGAATGTAGGTAAGAAAAGGAAACACAAAATGAAAAATACAAGCCCACAAACAATATTCAAAGACATTGTCGCTGTTATGATTTTGGTGTATGTCTTCTAATCATTTGATGTGTATGTTTTATGTAACAAAATCCACTTTGAAAGGACAATATAAAATGGGAATCTAGTTGTAGTTAGATCAAGTAATGCCATTTTATTTTTTTGCTTGGCTTTTAGACTACCACGGTTGCGAATGAAATGTGTACCACAAGAACATCAAAAGAAAGCCAGCAATTATGCTTTTCAGTTAGAAGCAAAGTGAATATTTATTGCTCAGATGATGGAATTTGGAGTGAGTGGAGTATGGAGCAGTGCTGGAAAGGTATGAGATAAACGAATAATAAATAACTATAGGCATTTGCTAGTGAAATTAATTTTCAGCATATTTTCTAACTATGGAAATCAGAGAGTGTGTGTGTATATAGTCGATAAAGAAGACAAATTAACAAGTATCTTAAATATATTTATTGAAAAATCTATATTCACTTTTAACAAGAAGTTAAACTAAGGATTGTTATGCTCCTATAATTAACATTCTTGCTTTTCTGATCATCAGCAAAGGAATATGCTAGTTCATTCTGGGAGAGCACCTATTTTGATCAGTATTTTCTTATGCTTTCAGTTATCAAGAAGACAGATGTATTAAAGCAAGAAGCTTGTTTTCAAATATCTAGTACTCTAACTAATATTTTTTTCTAATAAATATGTCTCTGTTAGGAAAATACATATTCCATTCATTTCCAATGCTGATTTAAAGTGACTTAGGATAAAAGATTTAAACCAATAATAGTAATAAAGTTAGAAGACTTGGGAATGAAACAAGATAATTTTGCTTCATAGTATATTAGCTTTAACAATAGCAAACGATATATAAATTAATAATAAAAATTAAAGTCATATAGCTAAAATTTATTAATATTTGTTGAAAATTAAGTGAAATTAATTCAACATTGCTCTTTCCAGTATATAAATATATATGCAGATATAGGAACAGAGACTAGCATTTATATCAATCATCTCCTCTCGTGCTCCTATGATGGAATCAATCCCTATTTAATGAAAATAGAGCTATCACTGTTCTGTCAAGTCGGTAAAACTTTCCTTGTACCCTTCAAGGTTATTTTGGCTGGTGTAATTACTAAACTGATATAAACCAGGTATGTGTGAGAACTCCAGAAGATTGAGACTCTGGACATTCAGGCAATTAGGGTTAATATTCCATCTTGAGCTAAAGTGAAGTATGTAGTGGCCCAGAAGGTCAAACAGTAGTATTTACAGGAAGATAGAAAAACAAATGTTTGCTAAACAAATTTTGCCTTCTCACGTAGAGACAAAGGGACAAAGATGAGTTTGAGCAAACAGGCATTATTAGTCCCCAAGCCTACCATAGCTAGTTCATATTCCTGTAGTCTCGCTTGTATAGTGATAGCTCCCTCTTGGAACAGGCCCCCTATCTAAATTACTCTGAACAGGTAAGAAGGAGATAAAGAAAAACTTCCTTGCACCTCTGTTTCTTAAAAATAATCAGACATATTTGGGAGTGGCAAATTTTTCTCCCTTATAATTCCTTTTTACTCAGAAAATACTTATTAAGCATTATGTGATAGTCTTCTTGGGCATTGGATATACCACAGTAAAAAAAAAAAAGTCTTTGTCCTCATGGAATTTATATTTTATTCCCATCTTTAGTAAAGACAGGTAAATCAAGAAGCAATAGACATAATATAATAACTGAAGTATATGGAGAAAAATCAGGCTGGGACAAAACTCAATTAGCCAGGAGATCTATGAAATCAGAAAGGATGCTCAGTGGTTCTACATAGACTTTTCATTTTTGTCATTACAAGAAATTTGGAGACTGTGGAACTGATGTTAAGAAACATAGGTCCTAAATTACATATTGTCATTAGGTAATTATGCTAGGATAAGGCCATTTTCTAGTCACTTTCTCAAAATATATATCCTTTGTTTATTTTAGAACTATGATATGATAAAAGTTAAAGATCAAAGAATTTTCTGTGATTCATTGGTCTTAGTTCTTTAAGACAATACATTTTGGGGGACTATATCTTCTTCAGAATTTGTCTTTAGGGTAGGGGAGCTTTTGAAAATGAAAGAAAAAAATCTTTTTGCCATTGTTAATTTTTATGCTAAAAAGTCTTATTTTTTGGGGTTGTATGGTTGCAAATTTAACTGGGGTGAACATATGAATTTGGCTGGTAGTTTTCTAGTAGAAATTAATGTTCTAAAGGGGTAGAGCCAAGAAAAAAGTGGGTTAGGATTAAGTTTGAGTATAGGTCTGGGTCTTGGATTCAAGATTTAAAATATTTCAAAAGATGTGGAGATACTAGTTTTGGAAAGATAAGGTTCCCCTACTTTGTATATTTTAGTGTTTGTTAATTTCTTTTTTTCAAAAATTTTATTTATTTTAAAAAAACATTTTGATATGGTAACATTGATTTACAACACTGTATATGATTCAGGAATATAGGATCCCATTTCTTCACACCATGCATATACACCAACAAGACACCCATGGTCCTTCACCCCTCCACATTTTGCTCCCCATCTCTAGCCCTCTTATTCTGGTAGCCTAAGTTCTATAGTCAGCTTTCTAGGGTTTGTTTTGATTTGGTCTGTCTGTTCCTTTCTTATTTCTTTATGTTCCACATATGAGTGAAGTCACCCAGCATTTGTCTTTTCCTTCTGAATCATTTCACTTAGGATAATCCTTTAAAGTTCCATACATGTTTCACAAATGGCAAGACTTTTTTCTTTTAATATATAGAGCTCAGTAGTATTTCATTTCTTTTAATATATAGAGCTCAGTAGTATTTCATTGTGTGTATGTGTATATATTTCTTCTTTGTATATCTTGATCCATTCATCTGTCATTGAACACTTAGATTGCTTCCATAATTTGACAATTGTAAATAGTGCTGTAATGAACATCAGCATGAATATATGCCTTTGAATTAGTGTTTTTGCATTTACCAGGTAGATATCTTGTAGTAGAGCTGCTGGATTATAAGGTGGATCTATTATTAATATTTTCCAAAACCTCCATACTATTTTGCACAGAGACTGGACCAGTCTACATTCCAACCAACAACGTAGGAAGGCACCTTTTCCTCCATATCCTAGCTAACAATTGTTTCTGGTCCTTTTGATATGGGCCTTTCTCACCGGTGTGAGATGGTGTCTCATTGTGTTTGATTTGCATTGCCCTGATAATACATAGGGCACTGAACTTTTTTTGTCCCCATGTACCTGTTGACCATCTGTTTGTCTTTGGAGAAATGTCTGTTTAGTTCTTCTGACAATTTTTTTCCTTGAGTTGTATGAGTTCTTTGTAGGTCTTAGATTTTAGCCCCGTGTCAGAGTCATGATGTGCAAATATTTTCTCTAATTTGGGATGGTGGGGTGTCTTTTTGTTTTAATGATAGCTTCTTTTACTGTGCAGAAAACTTGTAGTTTGATGTAGTCCCATTTGTTTATTTCTGCTTTTGTTTCCTTGCTTTTGGAGTTGCTTCCCCAAAGGCATAAGTGGAACCAATGTCATGGAGTGTTTTGCCTATGTTTTCTTCTGTGTATGTAATGATTTAATGATATTTTAGTCTTAATACATTTAGAATTAATTTTTGTGTATGGTGTGAGAGAGTTGTCTTATTTCATTTTTTTTTTTTTGCATGTGGGTGTCCAGTTTTCCTAACATTATTTGTTGCAGAGGCTTTCCTTTATCCAATATTTACTTTTAATTCCTTTGTCACAGATTAACTGTCCATATAAGTGTGCATTTATTCCTGGGCTCTGAATTCTATTTGTTCCAGTTCTATAATGGTTTTATTATTATAGCATTGTGTTGTACTTTGAATTCTGAGAATATGATACCTCCATTTTTCCTCTTTTTAGTCAGGGATGATTTGGCTAATTTGGGTGTTTCGTGGTTCCAAATAAATATCAGTAATGTTTGTTCTATTTTTTTTTGAAGGATACTATAGAAACTTTTGTAGGAATTGCTTACTGTATACTGCTTTTGAAAGATGGCCATTTTAGCAATGTTAATTCTTTTTGATTGCTTATTTCCTGCTATGCAAAAGAACCATAAAAACTTCGTGCTGAGCACTCCCTGGTGGCGCAACGGGTTAAAGCACAGCACTGTGAAGCTCTCCGCAGCCACTGCAGCACAAGTTCCATTCCTGGCCAGGGAGGTGACCCACATGGTGCAGCAGACCTCTCCTGTCTCGCCTGCTGCTCCCCTCAGCAGTGTACTTCGTCAATCTGCCTGTTCTGCTCCCCACTCTGTCTGGTGAATCCTCTCACCACCAAAACCTCTGGCCTGTACCCCAGTTCTGTATGCATAAATAAATAAATTTTTAAAAAATACTTTATCCTAATAAAAGACCTCAGCTCTTTTTTTAAAAAAATATATAATAGTTTATTTTTATATCGTTTTGTACATTTTTTCCCCCATCTCAATTGTAATCCCCATGGGATCAGCTCTTTACTTTCTAAAATACAAGACAACTTTTAAAATTTTTTTTAAGTAATGGCCCATTAAAATTATTTCTTTTTTTCCTTCTACCGAATCACCCATGCCCATGGTTTTTAAAGACTAGCTTCATCATTTTATTGAAGAGTAGATAGATGTTGCTCATCACAGCATTATATGTTATAAATATTTGAATTTTGAGAGTTAAGTATTATATAAGATATGTTTATCTAATCACTTGTTACTATTTTATCATTTTGTTATGATAAACTCACACAATCAAATTTTCATATCATATAAAAAAATAAGAATATTGGACTTTGTTAAGTTATTTTTCGAAGTAAAAAGATGTTACAGTTTAGTAAAAATGATTGTAGAATCTATGTACTGGAAAATATGGTAGAAGTTACCAAATAGCTTAGTGTTATCACTTACATCCAAGGTTATTTATAAAATAATTCAGTTTTAAAAATAAATAGTAAATATGTAACCCTTCTCTCTTTCTCTTTTGATTTTTAACCCTAGGTGACCTATGGAAGGAGACAATGTTATTTTTTTTGATTCCATTTGCTTTTGTCATATTATTTGTTTTGTTAATAACTTGTTTGGTTTTATACAAACAAAAAACCATAATGAAAATGGTAAGTTGAGTACTGTATTGTTTAGTCTGAGATAGTAGGTAACAAGTTGTTCTGTATCTAAATGATGGCCCTGCATTCTATAATTTTGCCTGTACACCCTGGGTATACAGTTGATGTTATATGGATTGTGATGATGTCTTCTGAAAGAAAGGTAATTACAACAGTAACCGTAAAATGTTCCATTTTGGGTTGGATATACTTTGTTAAAATATAAAAATAATTTAACTTTAGCTTAGGAGAAAATACAAGAGCTATAGGAGAAAAGCAGGATGGGGGGAAGGAAATAGTAACTTAAAAAGGATATAAACGACATTACTAGCTGCCATTGGCCAAAGGCCAGCTAACAATTAAGGAACATGGTGCCTACCCTGCAGGAGCTCACACTGCTCTCCTGAGAGAGAGCATCCATACACAAACTGTGACCTGCACTATGAGCTCATTTTAGATGATTGCTTCTTGAATTGTACAGATAATGTTATAGAATTTCAGAAGATGGAGAGATGGCTGTGGTTTGGTGTTTTTAAGGAGAAATTGTGACATAAGGGAAAATATTTTAATGCTAAATATTTTAAAGATGAAATGAAATGCAAATGTGTATGACATACATCACCTTATTTCTTGGCTGAATACTTTTATTGCCCATTTCTCTTAGTTATGCATCTAGCTGAAATAGCTTTTGTTATCAATGACCATTTGTGAATAACAGAGCTCTTTTTTGATTTCAGGCATTTCCTACTAAAAAGGAAGTATTTTCTCAACAAGAAACTCTCTGATATCTCACCAATTTTCAATCTTATGCCCAACTACTAGATATGGCTTACTAAACTGATTTTTTCGATAAAGTTTGAATAAAATCTTATCCTGAATGCATTGTTGTCTTTACAAAGGCTTTACTGTATTCAAACCCTCAATTAATAGTCAATTTTCTGGATTCCACTGAGGGGTTTTTCCTTGTTAATCCACAGTATGAGTGCTGCTTATAGAGACATCATAGGGGATTACATTTAGTGACATATTAGCAAAAAAAAAATGCAATTTCACAATTTGTACTAAACCAGGGAGATTTTACTAATCTTGGACGATGAGATTCTATTTTATTTAAAAATTGTACATGGTATAAAACTATTCCCCATGAATAGGGTTTTTGACTTTAAAATTTACTTGATCAGAAGTTTATTAAGAAGTTTCAAACACATTCATAAGTTAAATATGAATTTATGAAATATAATCTTATGAAAAAGGTGGGAGGTGCTTAAATGGCTGACAGTAATTCAATGACTATAGACCTTATTTGAAAAAAACAGAGGTTACTAAGTCACAGTAAAAGCTTGGCAATTTCTTATGCTTTGTTGTCAGGAAGCATTTAGTACTTTCTGACAGTCTGCTTTCTTATTTTTTCAGGGACCAAAAGGCACAAGTCTCTGAAATTAGTAAGGGCCCTTTTAAAAGTACATACAACCTTCATACTATTTAATAATTGACTGCTATGAGAGAATGTGGCAGGTGTACACCGTTGCTTCAAAATTCAGGGAATAATGTCTTACATGCAATCAAGTACCAAGTTTTAGTTTAAATCAGTTTATATTTAATATTATTCAGAGAGTAGTCCATAGACCCCTTAAAGTAGGTGTTACCTGGGAGCTTATTAAAAAAGCAGACTCTCAGAACCCAGCCTAGACTCACTTAATCTGTACTTTAACACCATCTTCAGGTGACCGATTTGCACATTCCATTAATTTTTTTATTGACACAATATTGCCTTATAACATGTTTCAGGTGTGTATCATTATAAATCAGTGTCTGTATATGCTACATTAAGTGCACCACTAAAGTGCAATTCGATTGCTCACCATACAGTTGACCCCTTTTCACATGATAGAATGACATCCTTTTTCCCCTTCCCTTCTGTTAACCACTAATTTGGTTTCTTGGTCTGAAGGTTTGTTTTTGTTTTATTTAGTTCATTTCATTTCTTTTATGTATCCCATATGAGTGAAATATTATTAACTTGTCTTTCTCCACCTGACTTATTTCACTAAGAATGATACACTTTAAGTTCATGCATATTGTTGCAGATGGCAAGATTTTATTTTTTTTAAAAAAAAAGCTGAGTTGTATCCCATGGTGTGTGTGTGTGTGTGTGTGTGTGTGTGTGTGTGTGTGTGTGTGTATTATATAATTACATATTATATAATATATATTATATATATGTATATAATCTTCTTTATACAATCAATCGTCAGCAGGCACTTGGGTTGTGAGTTAGGAAGTACGATTGTATCTCTTCTATAAGGGAACTGATCCCATTCATGAGCGTACAACTTTCTCAAAGGTCCCACCTACTAAAACTATCACATTGGGCATTAGCATTTCAACATAAATTTTAGAGGAACACAAACATTCAGACAAAAAAGTAGTGTAATTGCGTGTATTTATGTAGTTGAGTTTATGTTTGGACTATTTTTTCTACATTGAGTTTTAGGTTTAAATCATGCATTAATACTAACCATATACCACTAATTGTTTCTCTATTTAGACTTATAATATGATTTAATACCTTTTAAGCCCCTTCTCCCCATTAGTCTTCTTTTCCAGAAATTTCTTGGCTCTTTTTACATATTTTCCACAAGTATTTGAGAAGTAGTTTGGTTTAGTCTCCATCTCAAGCACACTGGCATTTTTATTGAGCTCTCATCATCATAATAGAATAATTTTGGAGAACAGTTATCTGTACAAGATTGAGTTTTTCTATGAATGAAAATGTGTGCCTTTACATTTTGTACAGTAATATGTTGTGTTTTTCAGTAGCATCTCAAACTTGTCTTCAAATAAATATTGCATGCTTCTTGTCAAATTTATTCCTAACTAAATAATCCTTCTAATTGTTGATGGTGTTGTTCTTTCATAATAAATGTAATTGCTTGTTAGTATATTGGGACAGTGCTTTTAATATATAGTGTACATGGTATAAAACTATTCCCCATGAATAGAGTTTTTGAAATTAGTAAGGGCTGCTTAGTCAAAAGCTGTGATTCAACCTGATGGTGAATAAGTGTCCTTCCTATCCTTGAGTATGAGAATATTATTTAGAAGTGAGAAGACAGCCAGTGTGTAAGGCAGTACAAATTGAGTACTGTTGGGGGAGTGCATGCACCTGCACAGAGTAGACAGACAGCCCAAACACAGCAAATGACACCAGGCACAGCTCATCCTCTGCTCACTTTCAGAGTGAATCTTCTTCCTCTGAACATGCCATTCCTATGCAGTCAGAATCCAGAAATTTTCTCAGTTCTCCCGTCCCCTCCCACACCCTCCCCTCCCCACCCCTCCTTCTTTTTCTCCCCACCAATTCCTTCTTTTGGCCTCTTATCTTTGTCTTCAGTCAACAGCTTTGACATCATCCCCAGACCTTCATTTCCATTGGGATGTCTCACAACTGCTCCAAACTAATTTTCTCTAATTTCCAGATCCCTCTCCACCCCACTTTAAACCTGTTCCTTGTATTTCTGCTTTGAGCTATGTGACAGGGATGTTACCAGGCAGAAGGTGGAATAGGCTAGTGTTGAGAACATAATTTGAGTGGCAGTGTAAAAGTACAGTGGCCTTCTCAAGCCCTCCTTCTAGATAGATGCCTGTTTCATGGAAAGTAAGTGGAGAATGAAAAGATCTTCACCACAGATAGTCCAGGGGCAGGATCAATGACTTCTTGTCATATGAGAGTGGTCGGAGGGAAGCGGTGAAGCGTTGGGAATGTAGCTGAGATAGAAACATAACTTCTGTTATTGTATATTTCTGGCACTGGCAGGAGGGAGTTCATGATTTCACTGTCTATTCTTCCTGGAAATGAAGAAATGAGGCTCAGGGAGGCAAAGAGATTACCAGGAATGTTCTTTCATTTTCCTTTTACAAACCAACAGCTGTGTCAATCTGTCTGAGACAGAGCAAGAAGTCTTTAAATGTCAAGATATTTCTACACACTGTATACACACATTTGAATATGATTTAAAAAAATTTCCTCTAGATTAATAAATTTGGTGGTGGTAAGGTGTGTGGCTACTCTGTTTCATAGTGTTCTCTCTAAACCAGTGAATAACATTAGGATTAATTAAAATCTCTGAGACCAAGATTCCAAAGAGGTGAATAATATAATTTATTTCATACGTTTTCCTTGAGTATTAAATAGCCGCAGTATTTAGTGCATTTCTGTTCACTAAGAGATCAATAAAAGTTGCTTCTATCACTCTAAAAAATTTATTATGGCATCCTTTCCCTCAGAACACAGAATATGGATGCTGCCTCGGCAGATTTACTACTTGAGGACTTGACCATGGAGTAAAGAGAACACAAATGCCTAGACAAAGCGAGCTTCCTCAATGACACAAAATCTGACTTAGGGCCCTCCCTGGTGGTGCAGTGGGTTAAAGCACAACACTAAGATGTTAAAGCCACTTCAGCATGAGTTAGATCACTGCCCGAGGAGGTGATTCACACGGTGTGGCAGACCTCTCCTGACCTGTCCACTGCTCCCCTCAACAGTGAACTTCATCAGTCGGCCTGTTCTGCTCCCCGCTCTCTGGTGAATCGTCTCACTGTCCCTGCATCTCTGGCCTGTACCCCAGTTCTGTATGCATAAATAAATATTTAAAAAATTCTGACTTCAGTTTGTGTTTTTCAAAAAAATGTTTTTACATTAAGACCTGAAATAGGGCCTCCCTGGTGGCACAAGGGTTAAATACACAACAATATTAAGCTTCTGCCAGCGGACCCACTTACCACGGCAGACCTCTCCTGTCTCCCAGCTGGCCCTTCACCACAGTATTTCTGTCAATCTGCCTGTTCCACTCTCTCTGGTGAATCCTTTAATCTGTCACACCTCTGGCCTGCACTCCAGTTCTTGTATGCATCAATATATCTTAAGAAAAAAATCTGAAGTATTCCTTTCATCCATGTTATCATTGGAACAGATAGATAACTATGCTCAGTGAAGGAGTCCATAACCTAAATAGTAATAATCAAAATAATATACACAATAACAGCTAGTATTTTGTTAATAATGTACTAGTGTGCAAATCACTTTGATCCAGAAACCCCATTGTGTAGCTGCTGTAATTTTTCACAGATGACAGAAGTTTTTTTTTTTTTTAATAACAACCAGTTTTGTTTTTTTTAATAACAACCTGCTGCTTTAGAAGATGGGGGCTACTAACAACTGGGGGGGTCCTTTGCATGGTTTGGAGTAGAAAAGAAGCCCAAAGCAGGAAGGCTAGGCATCAAAGAAGAGAGATAAAAAGGAGATATATTGTCCATGAGAAGTAAGACTTGGCAAGGCTTAGCTAATGGAAATTTTTGGAGATGATATACTTTTTCTTGTCATCTCCTTCAAGTTGATTCTGAAATCTTCGGTATGATATGCATTTGAGGTAAAGGGCTTCTTTACAGAGAATGAAAAAGAAGTTCTGAGTCTCTGGTACGGTTAGCAGATGCTGTACATGGATACTGCCAACATATGGATCATTCTATTTCATAAATAAAAAAATGGAGGCTTTTCAAGGTTAAGAAATTTCTTCATGGTCAATAACTAGAAAGTGAGAGGCTCAACATTTAACCCTTGTTCTATAATATTCCAGTACTTAGGATCTTAATCTTTAAGGTAGACCACTTTCCTGAATATGATAGTTTTAAATGTTTTTTTTTTTTAAATCTGTTTATAATTTTAACCTCAAAGGCATCATAGTCTCCTGGCTCATTTGGTCCTCTTTGGCCAAGGTGTAAAGTATTCCTTTATCCCACCCTCCCTGTTGG